AATGGCAAATAGTAGAAGAAGCTGAAGTGGGAGATTACAACACTCATTAGAGGAACTGTTTGCTAATATTCAGCCTCGGTTACATCTGGTCTGTTCAGAACCCCGGCAGCCCTCAATTACAGAGACCAGGACCAGGCCGGCATTGTACATCGCACTTCCCGTGTACCGGGCTAGAATTGTTAGCAGGAGGGAAGAGGGTTTTATGGTAGAAGAGGTATGCAGGATCTCCTCTGCCTGTAAGCAATGTTTTTATAGTGACAGTCGGCACCTCCCATCAGGATCTGAGAACTATGAGGGAGGGCTTTTCACTCACCTCATAGTTCTAGCCGACCTGTGACAATGAGACTGTCACAGGTCCGCTCAGTAGATCGGGAGGTGAGCGAACACATACCGGCGTTCACTCACCTCTCGATCCTGTCACGGCTCTCTGCCGTGACAGGGGAGGGGCTGGATTCCCCCCGCTCCGATCCGCCAGTGCTGACTGGCGGAACGGACGGGGGAGGGGGCGGGTACAGCTGGCTCTGCCTCTAGATAGGCAGAGCCAGCTGTCAGTCACGCAGCTGGGCGGATCCCGGCACAATTGTCGGGATCCGCTTCAGCTGCGGCGTCTCAGTATACCGCAAGCTACAGCTCGCGGTATACTGAGCTTAGGGTGATGGGAGGACGCTAGTTTGTGTCCTCCCGTTACCCTAAGGAGAACTATGGGGAAAAGCCTTAACCCCATAGTTCTCCTTTAACCTTCCCAAACCGGAGCTGAATGGCAATTGAAACCTTTCGCTGCCCGGAGACGAGAGACGAGAGGGCCTGAGAATGGCATAAAACCCCAGAAATATCCATTTCCTGAACACACGGATTCTTTAGAATGAAATGGTGGCTGTTGCAATTGTTCATGTTGCACGATACAGGCGCAAATGTTTATCAAACCCAAATATTCACCAAAAAAAAAACAACACTTAACCCCTTCACAACCTATGACAGGATTATCCCATCATGGGCCTTTAAGGGGTTAAACAGACTCCCGGCTCTGTTCATAGCTGTAGAGCCGGCGGTCGGCTTTACAGTAGAAGCGATTCTGGTGGCTCAGCTGCCACCAGACCGCTTCTACGATCCGGTAAAGTGTTTCCAAGCTCCGCTGCCCCTCCTACGGGCCCGGGACCGGCATCTTGGGTGTCGGCAGGAAGCTGGGGAGGAGAGCAGCGAATGTACGTTCACCAATCTCCTCCCCGCTCTATGGGACCGGGAGCGACATGTATTACATCACTTCCGTTCCCATAGCTGTCATTGCTGGACTCCTGAAGCCTGCGATCTGCACTTCAATAGCTTATTTGGAGTATAAAAGGTGACAATAGGGGCCTTTTGGACCCCCAGCATCCTCTCAAAGAGCACCTGTCACCACCAATATGCTATCACATGGGGGCTTGTAGGCCCCCCTATGTTATAGCAATTAAAATGAAATAAAAAGTTTTAAAAATATAGAATAAAATAATTTAAAAAAATGTTTTTTTAAAGTTCCCCGCCCCCACGTGCGTCTTCACGTAACCTTGCGTCAGGTGCGCTTACGTATGAAAACGAAGATTGCGCTACACGTGTTGAGCATCATCACGCACGCCAGAGTGAAAGCAATCATTCTAGGGCCAATATTTACACGTATCTCTAAACTGATGACCTGTGGGGGGCTTTTAAAGCGTCGTCTATGGACTTTTTGGGGTACTGAATTTTGTCGCAGTTTTACGGACGCACACAATTTTTAACCTGGGCATGTTGGGTATCTATTTACTCGTTGTAACCTCATCTTTTATATTTTGTTTAAAAAAATGGTTTTATATTGTGATTTGGGGCACTAAATGTAACTTAAGTGCATTTTTCACTAAATTGTGGGGTTTGATAAGAAGTTGCGCTAATACTGTGCAACATAAAAATCTGCAACTGCCGCCATTGTATTCTACAGGGTCTCGGCTTTCAGAAAATATATCATGTTTGGGGGTTTTAAGTAATTTTCAGGCTTAAAATGTGAATTATAACATAAAAACTAAAAAAAAAGGCCTCGGTCCGCCCAAATGACTTCCAGTGTAAAGCCGACGTTGGCTATAGCAGCCGGGAGTCTGATACAGGGGCCCGCTCCCGCCGACGCAAGGCATACTTTGGCGCCAGTGAACCTGCTTGACCTGTGTAAAATCTTGCTTTACACAATGATCTGAAGCCTGTGTGAACAGGCTGAGGGCATAGAACACAATCTCACCTCTGGAAGACGTCTATCTCCTGCAGGAACTGCTCGCACCGGCCCATCATAGGCTCCTCCCTGCGGACAGCACAAGAAATGAGCACCAGAATGTAAAAACACAGCATACAGACACCCTGCGCAATGTCATATGTCCTACCTGTGCACAGTGGCATATTAGCTAGGTGTGTTCAGTTCCTTAGCCATCGATAATATGAAATCACCTTTCACTCCGCACAGCGCACAGACCTTGGATGAAAGTTTGGGGCTCGAAGTGACAACACGGATGGCGCCGTGTCAGATACAGTCCATAATAGATGTCACCAGCACCCGATGATGTCGCCCAGAAGAAGGGACCCTGCGTTGGCTGTATGACGCATGTGACGATTTAATAAAAAGTGCTTTACTTCTTGCACATATCATCGAGTGCTGGCGACTTCTATTCTGTTCCTTAGCCAAGCCCTGAGTAGCTGTTCTTCAGTTTGCTGCAGCTAAGCAAATGGCGGAGGAGAATATTTCTGACTAATAAATACCATTTTCCAACGAATATTCGGTGTGCTCGTCCACCAAAACATTAAATTGAAGGTTGCCACAAGGAATTGATTCCTCCATCAGGGTTCAGGCATCTTTCTCCAGCGCTGCCAGGTGTGCCTACAATTAAAATGGCTGCTGGTGCTACGTCCCCACCTTCTCCGTCACACTCAGTGCTCTGCGTCCACATTCGCTTCCGCTGCGGGTGCCAAGTTAGTAGTGCCGAGCTCTGACTTTCAGCACAGCGTGCAGCAGCAGTTTGCTAACTCAGCACTCGCAGTGGCTGAGCAACTGAACACGCCTCTGGTCTCTATGGCTTACATGGATACAGTGAGCAATTCACTTCCTGGTATGCAAGTGAGCCTAAGCCTCCTGTACCTAAAGCATGAGATAGATAGATAGATATGAGATAGATAGATACGAGATAGATAGATATGAGATAGATATGAGATAGATATGAGATAGATATGAGAGAGATAGATATGAGATAGATAGATAGATAGATACGAGATAGATAGATATGAGATAGATAGATAGATAGATACGAGATAGATAGATACGAGATAGATAGATACGAGATAGATACGAGATAGATATGAGATAGATAGATACGAGATAGATAGATACGAGATAGATAGATACGAGATAGATAGATACGAGATAGATATGAGATAGATATGAGATAGATATGAGATAGATAGATAGATAGATAGATAGATAGATAGATAGATACGAGATAGATAGATACGAGATAGATAGATATGAGATAGATAGATAGGAGATAGATAGATATGAGATAGATAGATAGGAGATAGATAGATAGGAGATAGATAGATACGAGATAGATAGATACGAGATAGATAGATACGAGATAGATAGATAGGAGATAGATAGATAGGAGATAGATAGATATAGGGATAGATAGATAGATATGAGTCTGTACTGCATGCATCCTCCTGCTGCTCAAAATAGCTTGACGACAGCAGAATCCATCCATAGCCTCCCTCTCCTTGTGAGTGACACAGATTCTTTATAGAACTATAAAGGATAACTGTACCTTTGGTATACCTGTCCTTTAATTCATTCCCCTGCCTATCAGAGTGCATCCCAGCAACCTAAAATCTTACCTTCCTCCTCAACTCAGCGATCTTCACTGCCTTTCCAGCAAAAACATCCTCTTCTCAGGGCACATGCGTGCCACAACCCCATACCCATGCTGGAGACCACTCTGAGTCCAGCTCACCCATAGGATGAATGAAGCCATAGCTTCCATGTACATGGGAAAAAAAAGTAAACCCAGGAGGGACATTTTTGCTGGAAAGGACAGGCAGCATTAGAGGGAGCCGCACAGCAAAGATCCATGGGATGGGGGAAGAAAGTATTTGAGCAGGTGGGAGTAACGCATGTTGAGGGCCTCAGCAGTATGATGATGATGATAGTCGTTCACACATCCCTGGGCAGGTAGGTGGCAATGGACGCTGCAAAGCTGTAGTAAGTGGCACCCTGCTGACTGTTAGAACGAAGAGTAACTTTACAGAACTACTAGCGATGCACCAATACCAGTTGACGAGGAAGCCTGGAGCCGGCTTTCTGGCCAATCAGGAAGCTGGGCGGCGGGTAATGACTTGCCGCCCAGCTTTCTGATTGGCTAGCTTCCCGACCAATCAGGAAGCCGGGCGGTGAGTCATTACCCGCCCCCCGGCTTCCCGATTGGCCAGGAAGCCAGCTCCATGCTCCAAGGCGACGAGGAAGTTCCGGTATCGGGACAAGTATCGTACGAACACTTGCTATCAGCACCAATACGGATACTAGTATCAGCATCGCTGCATCCCTAAGAACTACAAAAGCCTTCAGCGGAAGAAATGGTTCATGCGGATGTATTTTAGTTGTTTGGCTGCAGTCCCCTTTCGCCCTCGATACCACAAAGCTGCTTTTCTGATACTGATCCTAGTGACACTCACCCTTTAGTAGTCCGGGCGATCACAAGGAGCTGAAGGGCATTTGCCTGCAGCCTCATGTGGTGTATAATGGCTACCTGGCGGTTCTCCAGGCCGCTGTACATAAACTCCATCTTGTACGTCTCTTCCAGGATCTGCAAGATAAAACGACCATCATCAGCCCGGGTACATGACAATCCAGCTCATTCGTAGTGGGTAGAAAAACTGACAGGGTGGGTGGTCCAGCCTCCTTCCTGCCATTCCCATCATCCGTCACCTCCATAGGATTATACTAAACTCCAGCGCATGCCCGCAAGAATGTGAAGATCACATCAAAACGCACAACGAGCCTGTCAGCTCAGGTCCAGCTATAAGAGCCGATGCCACAAGGTGCAATTCGTCAGAAAATCCACTTCTGTGCTCCCCTCTGATCGTGTTTTCTCTGCATTACTAAGGCTTCCATTTCCTCACCTTTCAGCTAAGCTCTGCCCGCCTCATGTCCTCTTGTCTAGTGAGAAACTCCTTGAAGGCCAATGAGCTATTCTTACTGGGTAGGGAGACATTATCTGCAGGGGCCGGGCTACTTCAGCAGTCAGAAAAGTCAATGCCTTAGTAACAAAGTGAATGGCAATACAAAATATAGCCACAGATAGATAGATATGAGATAGATAGATATGAGATAGATAGATATGAGATAGATAGATATGAGATAGATAGTAGATAGATAGATAATAGATAGATACGAGATAGATAGATATGAGATAGATAGATAGGAGATAGATATGAGATAGATATGAGATAGATAGATATGAGATAGATAGATATGAGATAGATAGATAGGAGATAGATATGAGATAGATATGAGATAGATAGATATGAGATAGATAGATATGAGATAGATGGTGCCCTAGGCAAGGTAGCAGCTTTGCACCCCCCCCCCATCCCTTCAACTGACACTAATAAGAATGCAATAGGCGATTTGCATTGTCTGTAGTGAGATAGCTTGTCCCATCAGACCCCAAATGTCTGCATTCTCCCTGGTGAAGTGACAGATTGGTGCACAGCTTTGATCAACTGTACCATCCCCCTGGTTTAATGCAGGAGCATGAAGGTTGCAGCTGTACCCTCACCCTCCACCCCGGACATTCACCAGCTCCGGCCTAGGTTGTCATGTGGATGATCAGTCTTTTGGTAGCAGACACCTTGGGATTCTTCACTTAGGCGAGAGGATCGCTTGAATACAAGGTCTCCTGTTTACGTTCCCCCACCCCACCCCCTTGCTAAACTGGTGCATGTAGAGCTCCCCAAATCTCGCTGAGAAGATGCTACCAGCACTGTGCTGCATCGGCTTCCTAGATTTCGAGTGCTCACTATTCCCCGGGATCCTGCCAGAGGATTATTCTGTCGATGGAAAGTTGATTAGAATACTTTTATTTCTAATAGCGTCCAGCATTTCAGCAAGGGGAAAGGGAGGCGCAAATGTAAACGGCAGACCTTGCAGATAGTGTAAAGGCCGTGACACACTGCTCGCGAAGCAATGCAGAGCGAAGCAAAGCTCTCCGGCACGGAGCACCTGAGGAGAAAATTACATGACACACTGCTCGCAAAGGCAGCGCGCCACCGCTCCGCGCTGCTTCGCGTGCAGTGTGTCACGGCCTTAAGCCTCCCCAGCAGCATATACCTACCTTCCTGTAGTTCTCCCACCCGCGGGAGTGGAAGACAAGCCCTGTGCAGCTATGAACCGTTAGAGAGTCGCAGCTTACGTAAGGCAATGGTTCCCCCATGTAGTAGCGCTGATTGACCCAGCACTCTCATATAGAGTAAATGACATGCTCCTCCGTACTTTTGCTTCCATTGCTGAATGCAGCAGTGGAGAGCAAGGCGAGAGAGGGGGTTGAAGTAAACCTCATGCTTTGCTTTAAATAGGCAAAAGCACCGGCTTACCATATTTGCCGGTGTATAAGGTGACTGGGCGTATAAGACGATCCCCCTACTTTTTAAAACAATACTCGTCGTATAAGACGTGTATAGCCCAAAATAATGTTTGAATACACACACTAACCTCCATGGCGGTATTCCCGAGTGTGGCTCGGGGTTCATTTTCAGTACCATAAGCGGTAACCCCGAGCCACACTCAGGATTACAGTCTCTTACCTTGTCCACGATCCCCGCTGTGTCCTCCGTCAGTATACCGCTCTGAGCCAATCACGGCAGGCTTTGTATTCAGGAATACAGGCTTTGTGTTAATGAATACAAAGCCTGCCGTGATTGGCTCAGAGCGGTATACTGCCGGAACCCGGAAGATTTGTACTGTGTACATCCATACCCGGCGTATAAGACGACCACCGATTTTCAGGGGATGTTTTTAAGTTTAAAAACCCGTCTTATACGCCGGCAAATACGGTACCGTAGTTTCCCTTTATACAGATATATATTCATTCAACAATAGACCTCTATATGAAGAAAAATGTACCTGTTTCACAGCGGTTGCAGCAAGGGAATTCTGCTTCACGTAGAGAGGAGCCGCCAGACTCCACAACTTCTCATTCAGTGCCTGAAAAAGAGCAGACCAACACTCACTCTATCAGCAGGCGGACCTGAAAATGGGATTACTCCCCGTAAGATCTTCCTCTCGAGTAGCTCAATGGAGTACGCTAGACCAGTGATTCTCAACTAGTGCGTTGCAACCCTGTGTTCACCGCATGCCTTCCACTGCACTAGGCGAGAGGCTCCTCAGCCTCCCCCTAGAGCAGCACTGCCAGTTCTCGTGCCGAGCAGCCATTCAAAATATGCTGCCCGCTTGGTTATGGCCCCGAGGGAGCTCCATCCATATGCAAATTGCTCATAGCTCCCTTGCGTGCCCTGTAGAAGTAACTGGACCGGAGTGATGTCACATTATGGCTCCCGGCACCTCTATGGGGCGCACAAAAGAGATGAACAAGAAATGCACATATGGATGGAGCTCAGCCATAGTACAGCAGTCCACACTGGACCCCAGGCTGAGGATCCACTCCAGTTCTTCTAAGGCAGGGAAACTGGATGGATCTTAAAAAAAGAATGTCTGTGTGTGTGTGTGAGATTGTGTCTGCGGTTGTGTGATCGTGCGAGAGATTGTGTCTGTGGTTGTGTTTGTATCGTTCACACTAACACAGTGCGTTAATCATACAGTTCCTTGCGATCGACACTAGGGATGCACAGATACCAGTTTTTCGGTATTGAGTACGAGTATTTTGTTTTCCGGTACTCGCCAGTACCGGAAGGCCCATTAAGGAAGCCAGACGGCATGTAATGACTCGCCACCTGGCTTCCCGATTAGCCGTCTCCATGCTTCTCATCACTAGACGACGAGAAAGCATGGAGCCACCTTTCTGGCTGCCCGCGCTGTGTAATGACGCGACGCCCGGCTTCCTGATTGGCCGGAAAGCCAGCTCCATCATCATCAGGTGACAAGGGAGCATGAAGGCGGCTTCCCGGCCAATCAGAGAGTCTCCCAATCTTACGAGAACTGGAGTGGATCCTCAGCCTGGGGTCCAGTGTGGGCTGCTGTGCTGTGACGGAACTCCATCCATACGTGCATTGCTGGTACAGCTCCCTTGCGTGCCCTGTAGAGGTTTCCCGGCACCTCTACAGGGCACATGAGAGAGGTGTGCAAGCAATGCACGTATGGATGGAGCTCCCTCGCGGCCATTGCCCCATCCCAAACCCACCTCAAGGTGACACTCGGCACCGGGCAGCATATTTTGAATGGCTGCTTGGCCCGAGAACGGACAGTGCTGCGCCAGGGGGAGGCTGAGGAGCCTCATCTAGAAAAGTGGACGGCATGTGGTGACCCATTGAACAAAGGGTCGCGACCCACCAGTTGAGAACCAAGGCACTAGAGGGAGCTAGCCCCTTTTTACATGTTCATAGTGTCCAAACCTCCTTTAGACGGCGATTATAGCCATATGGGGAGTCCTTCGTCCTCCAATGAATGCTGGGAGAAATACCAACATCTACCAATATAGGAAACAAACCTTTAGGAGTAGCAAATGGCAGCGCAGGTAGGTGGCCGAGAAATCTGCCTTGCCAGCCAGATCAGACTGCAGCTCGCCGATCC